AAAGTTAGGAAACAAAGAGTAGGAATAAATGGTCAGTTTTCAGAATGGAAAGAGGTATCTAGTGGTGTCCTGCAGTGATCTCTACTGGGACCAATCCTATTCAACATAATTATAATTGATCTGGAGAAAGAGGGAAAAAATTAAGGTGGCAAAATTTGCAGATGATACTAGCTTACTTTAGATAGCTAAATCCAAAGAGTTTCATCAAAAGGATCTCACAAAACTAGGTGACTAGACAACAAAATGGCAAATTAATTTTAATGTTGATAAATGCAAAGTAATGCATATTATAAAACATAATTCCAACTATACGTACAAAATTAGCTATTGCCACTCAAGAGAGATATCTTGGAGTCATTGTGGATAGTTCTCTGAAAACATCCACTCGATGTGCAGCAGCAGTCAAAAAAGCAAACAATGTTAGGAATAATTCAAAAAGGGATAGAGAATAAGACAGAGAATATCTTATTGCCACAATATAAATCCATGATATGCCCACATCCTGAATACTGTGTACAGCTGTGGTCACCTCATCTAAAAAAACTATCTTGGCATTAGAAAAAGTTCAGAGAAGGACATAAAAAATTATTAGGGATTTGGAACAACTGTCATATGAGGGGAGATTAAAAAGACCAGGAATTTTCAGTTTAGAAAAGAGGAGACTAAGGAGGAGGATATGATAGAGATCTTTTAAAATCATGACTGGTATGGAGAAAGTGAATAAAGAAAAGTTATTTACTTGTTTCCCATAACAAAAGAACAAGGGGTCACCAAATGAAATTAATAGATAGCAGGTTTAAAATAAACAAAAGGAAGTATTTCTTCACACAATGCACAGTCATAAGAACATAAGAATGGCCATACTGGGTCAGACCAAAGGACCATCTAGCCCAGGCATGTCAAATTTGAAACCTACTGAGGGCCACACAAATGAAAACTGATAGCTTTCAGGGTCACCAAAGAACATGTACTCCTATCGTAAAGTCGTAATTATTATTATAGATTAGGTTTTAGGTATATTTTTAGATATTTTTTCAGGTCTTATTTGACTAAAATGCAATAATTTGACATGTAAAATTGTTGTCGTTTGCTTGTATATATTTTAATTTAATTATAAATTTAAGGTACTTTTTAATTTTTTATGATACAAAACTTGTTGAAATAAAAACAAGTATAGACAGTGGTTAATCAAATAGAACAGGCTTCTGTGAAAATTTAAGATACTTCGTAAGTTTGAGATTTTGCATAAACATATAATTATTCGTGCATTTGCAAAACAAGGACATATTTATTGATATAAAATTAATACATTTTGTGAGTTTATTTGGGAATAAATAAATAAAAACCAAAATACTAGCAAAATATTCCCCGCTGCTCCCCCGGAGTCAGGCACTCCCGGTCCCACTCGTGCTCTACCCCAAGGCCTCACCACTCCCCCAGAGCCAGGCACCCCCTGCTCTAAGCCAATGTCTCCCCCCTCTCCCAGAGCCAGGCACTCCTAACCCCCCCAACTTAATGCCTCACTCCTCCCTCAAAGCCAGGCACCCAACGCCCTCCAAACTAATGCCTCCCCTCTCCCCCAGAGCCAGGCACTCCTAACCCCCCCAACTTAATGCCTCACTCCTCCCTCAAAGCCAGGCACCCAACGCCCTCCAAACTAATGCCTCCCCTCTCCCCCAGAGCCAGGCACTCCCAGACCCTGCTCTAACCTAATGCCTGAGTCCCGGAGCCGCCACTGCTGCTGCCTCCGCCGCCACCACACTTCTTCCTCCAGGTGCTGGGGCACGTGAGCAGAGAAGCTGACAGTGAACAGGTGCTTTGCTCTTAGGTGGTGGCCCCAGCTGCCTGAGGAGCTGCTGCCACCACTGCTGCTATGCAGCATTGGCTTTGGCCCCGGCTTCACCCACCAAAGGTGCCACTGCTGCGGTCACGCAATCCTGGGCTGGCCCTGGCTGTTGGAGGAGCCGCCGCCAAGGCCATGTGGTCCTGGGCTGGCCCCGGCAGCTGGAGGAATGCCTGCCACCAGAGGAGCAGCCACTGCCACGTGGCCCTGGCCCCAGCCATGACCCCCGGAGCAGCTGGGCAGTTATTATGTGGCCCTGGCCACAGCCCTGGGGAGTCAAGGACAGCACAGAGCTGCCTGGCTGAGCCTCCCCTACTCCGTAGGAGCAGCTCATCTTCCATCAGAAGACTATTGCATGGCCCTTCAACGGAGGTGGGCAGGTAGAGAAATTTTTGTGCATGGCTGCGCAGGCGTGCATCTTAGGGGGAATTATGTTCAACAAACATGTGGTCAAGGGCGATCCAGTGGATACAGTGTACTTAGATTTCCAGAAAGCCTTTGACAAGGTCCCTCACCAAAGGCTCTTAAGTAAGCTGTCATGGGATAAGAGGAAAAGTCTTCTCGTGGACTGATAGCTTGTTAAAAGTTAGGAAACAAAGAGTAGGAATAAATGGTCAGTTTTCAGAATGGAAAGAGGTATCTAGTGGTGTCCTGCAGTGATCTCTACTGGGACCAATCCTATTCAACATAATTATAATTGATCTGGAGAAAGAGGGAAAAAATTAAGGTGGCAAAATTTGCAGATGATACTAGCTTACTTTAGATAGCTAAATCCAAAGAGTTTCATCAAAAGGATCTCACAAAACTAGGTGACTAGACAACAAAATGGCAAATTAATTTTAATGTTGATAAATGCAAAGTAATGCATATTATAAAACATAATTCCAACTATACGTACAAAATTAGCTATTGCCACTCAAGAGAGATATCTTGGAGTCATTGTGGATAGTTCTCTGAAAACATCCACTCGATGTGCAGCAGCAGTCAAAAAAGCAAACAATGTTAGGAATAATTCAAAAAGGGATAGAGAATAAGACAGAGAATATCTTATTGCCACAATATAAATCCATGATATGCCCACATCCTGAATACTGTGTACAGCTGTGGTCACCTCATCTAAAAAAACTATCTTGGCATTAGAAAAAGTTCAGAGAAGGACATAAAAAATTATTAGGGATTTGGAACAACTGTCATATGAGGGGAGATTAAAAAGACCAGGAATTTTCAGTTTAGAAAAGAGGAGACTAAGGAGGAGGATATGATAGAGATCTTTTAAAATCATGACTGGTATGGAGAAAGTGAATAAAGAAAAGTTATTTACTTGTTTCCCATAACAAAAGAACAAGGGGTCACCAAATGAAATTAATAGATAGCAGGTTTAAAATAAACAAAAGGAAGTATTTCTTCACACAATGCACAGTCATAAGAACATAAGAATGGCCATACTGGGTCAGACCAAAGGACCATCTAGCCCAGGCATGTCAAATTTGAAACCTACTGAGGGCCACACAAATGAAAACTGATAGCTTTCAGGGTCACCAAAGAACATGTACTCCTATCGTAAAGTCGTAATTATTATTATAGATTAGGTTTTAGGTATATTTTTAGATATTTTTTCAGGTCTTATTTGACTAAAATGCAATAATTTGACATGTAAAATTGTTGTCGTTTGCTTGTATATATTTTAATTTAATTATAAATTTAAGGTACTTTTTAATTTTTTATGATACAAAACTTGTTGAAATAAAAACAAGTATAGACAGTGGTTAATCAAATAGAACAGGCTTCTGTGAAAATTTAAGATACTTCGTAAGTTTGAGATTTTGCATAAACATATAATTATTCGTGCATTTGCAAAACAAGGACATATTTATTGATATAAAATTAATACATTTTGTGAGTTTATTTGGGAATAAATAAATAAAAACCAAAATACTAGCAAAATATTCCCCGCTGCTCCCCCGGAGTCAGGCACTCCCGGTCCCACTCGTGCTCTACCCCAAGGCCTTGTCTCCCCCCTCTCCCAGAGCCAGGCACTCCTAACCCCCCCAACTTAATGCCTCACTCCTCCCTCAAAGCCAGGCACCCAACGCCCTCCAAACTAATGCCTCCCCTCTCCCCCAGAGCCAGGCACTCCCAGACCCTGCTCTAACCTAATGCCTGAGTCCCGGAGCCGCCACTGCTGCTGCCTCCGCCGCCACCACACTTCTTCCTCCAGGTGCTGGGGCACGTGAGCAGAGAAGCTGACAGTGAACAGGTGCTTGATGCTGCGCGCAGAGCGGCCAGCTAGCCGTGAGCACATGCTGGAGCGCTGAGCGCAGAGCAGCAGGCCAGTCAGCTGTGATCTACACTCGGCCATGTGCTCAGAGCAGCCAGTGGGCCGCATTTTATTCTTTCATAAAAAAGGAGTGGCGGGCCTGTTTGACATGCCTGATCTAGCCCAATAGTCTGTCTGCCAACAGTGGCCAGTGCTAGATGGCCCAGAGGGAGTGAACAGAATGGGGAATCATCCCGTGATCCCTCTCCTGTCATCTATTTCCAGCCCCGGACAAACAGAGGCTAGGGACACCTTTCCTACTCATCCTGACTAATAGCCACTGATGGACCTAACCTCCACGAATTTATCTAGTTCTTAGTCAATCTGTGGATCTCCTTGTCAGAAAATGTTGTGAAAACCAGAACATTAATAGGGTTCAAAAAAGAACTACCAGTAGATAAATTTATGGAGGAAAGGTCCATGAATGGCTATTAGCCAGGATGGGTAGGAATGGTGTGTCCTTAGCCTCAGTTTGTCAGAAGCTGGGAATGGAGGACAGGAGAGGGATCACTTGATAATTACCTGTTCTGTTCATTCCCTCTAGGGCATCTGGCTGTGGCTACTGTTGGAAGACAGGATACTGGGTTAGAAGGACCTTATATACATACATACATTATATGTGCAGCACATGAAATATGCACACACACAGTGGCACAGAATTCTCCCAGGAGTACTATATATTATAGGTAAAAAATATTTTGTATGCCAGATGTTTTTTGCACTAATGTTATGTACTGTGTCATGGGAGGCCATCAAAGTTTACAAATGGATCTTAACCTCAATATGGATGAGAATCACTATTGTAGACTACTTTTTGCCTCCCACTGCAATCCAATTTACCTGTGGAAAGAGGGGTCTCTCATCTCTCTTCTTCTTCAAGCACTCTGCCATTAGCCTCTTCATGGCTTTTGGACAGTTACTTCGCACTTTACTGAGATCTGGAGATAGGTATCCTCGTCCCACCATAAAAATGATCTTTTATTTTTAAAATAAAAGGGAAAGGGAAAGGGAAAATTCGTAAAACATAACCATGTAGCAAGTTAAAAAGAATTGCACATACTTAACTATCTTTTGAGCTGAAACGTGTACATTCCAGCAGTAGTTCCTTACACATATATGTATACAGTACATTCCACACTATTTAGGACTAATGATTCTGCTGATATGTTTCATAAACCACTTCAGCAGAAAAGAAGTACTCTTCCCTCCTTTCCCCCTTTAAAAAGGAATTAAGGGAGAATCATACATGCTAGTAGATAATACTATTTACACTAAAGCATACAAGGAACAATTCTTGAGCACCAAAAGAGGTTATAAGAAGAATAAATGGATCTGATGCAGATCTAAAAGATAAATATTCCGTGCCATTTAATGATTTTACACTATTTTATCCAGAATAAGTGGCAAATTCGCACATTAGGAGAATTAAAGAAATATATCACACCATATATTTTTCCATCATACATTCTCTTTGATTCTCTTCTGACTATGTTTTCTTAACACAGTGGGAAAGAAGAGCTAGTCTTTCTTCTACTGAACCAGAGTGCTATAGATCTAGTTCGTCTGGAAATAGATCTTATATTTTCAGTATTAATTTATTGAACAAAGCCTCCATTTCAAAAAGGACTTGAAACTGAAGCACACAACTCCAAATCAACAAAGATCTAGATGGAAAGCACTGTAAAGTATGGTGTATCTTCTTTTAGAAATATGAAGCAGACATTATTATATCAAGCCAAGCTCAAATGTAACGGAGCTTGAACATTGTGTTGATACTAAAACACCTCTTCAAACAAGTCAAAGATCTATTCATACTGTAACAATCACTATCGTCACTGAGTAATTTAGCCAGATGGATCCAGAAGGTGTGCTGTGACTTACATTTAAAGAAAAGTAATTATTTTATGTTTTGTATGGGAGGCAAAACAGTTACATGTCAAGTTACATATGGAGACTGCTTATGCTAACATATTCTACTGCTCCTAATTTAAACTGTAGACTGAAAAGTTTTTGACCTCTCTTTAGGAGATAACTTAAAGTTCCCCCACAACTCCCAAGCACCAACCATGTATCCTCTGTAAAGACTTTTCTAGTCTACCCTTTGCTTATGCTGCACAGAAACAGACTTTTCATCATCCAGGAGATAGCATTCTTTAGACTACAGTAAATATTTAGTACTGAAATTACTGATAATTTGTTTTTGTTTTGATTTCAATGTTACATGTTAAATTAACATTAAACACTTTATTTTTTTTTTAAGTTACAAGCAGGAAAACATCACAACAAGAACAGTAGTCCTGAGGCCTGCATAACCTATAAATAGGTATGCTGAGGTTCAATTACATCACAGAGCAGGAGTGACAATAAACAGGAGTGACATAGATTTTGCCCATTTCCAACTTGGACTTAACTTTTCATGTCAGAGCTGAACTTTTCGTCATGGCCTAGATCTGTCAAAACATACAGCACCCTATTTACATCCTTTTCAGTCAATGGACCAAGAAAGATAAACTCAAGGCATTTCACTGCATTTTACAGATCAGCTGCACCTGTGGTTTAAAGTTTGTTACAGAAAACAGTCAGCATCCATGTCATCTATCACCAGGCAGACGAAACTGATTCATGAGTCAGAGCTGTCAAAAAAGTTAAAATGTAACAGGGCCAAGTACAACTTGTAAGTGGTAACAGTCTCCTGGCTCGCAATGTGGGCATTTTTCTTCCTTTAAAAAGATGTAAAATGCAGAAACAAGAAAGCAAATGAGTCACTCAAGATCTGATGAACTGTGAAGCATTTTGATATACAGGCAGTCCCCGGGTTACATGGATCCAACAACCGGGGTGAGGCACCCCCGCACTAGCTACTTCCCCCCAGCAGACTAGGGAGATGCGAAGCTAGCGCGTCCCCCTCCCCCCGCCCAGCAGACCAGGGAGAGGTGGAGCGGCTTTTCTCAGCAGACACTTCAGCTTGAGAATAAAGGGCTGAGGGAAGTGAGGTGTGGGAGAATAAAACTGAGCTCTGGAGAAATGTTTGGCTAGAGTTTCCCCTACAATATGTACCAGTTCCGACTTACATACAAATTCAACTTAAGAACAAACCTACAGTCCCTATCTTGTACGTAACCCGGGGACTGCCTGTATATGGAAGTAGCCTGTCACAAAAATGTCTCTTTCACTACCTGGTGAAACTCACTGCATGGCCAGTTCAGTTGGTTTCTCAGTCACAAATACACACTGGGCTGTTTATCTTTCACCAAAGTGTGTATTCATTCCCCTCTTACATAATAACAATACAGGTTTATAGCAAGGGTTGGCTTCCCTGATGCCTAGCCCAGGCTTGCTATCTGAGGGTATGTCTACACTGCGCGGGTTTTCCGGGATACCGCTGCATCCAAGGAACGCGTTTGCTCTTCCACTTTTTTTTTGAAGAGCAAATGTGCTCCTTTGGGGAGTCCTGTATATCTCATTCTACAAGGGATAAGGACTCTACCAAAAGACTGGGCCTAATGGCAGAAAAACCTCTTCTGGAAAAGCGATTGGAAAAACTGCAGAGCACAATTTGTGTAGCTTTTCAAAAAAACCCAAAAAACACACACACTATAGTGTAGACCTAGCCTGAGCCCCTCCAGAGATGCCCCTTGCTGACTGTTTCCTCCCCTTATATTTTTTTCCAAATACCTTGTTAACCCAGTGGTAGAAATGTAGCTGTGTTAGCTACATAGTCCTGTTTTTTGTTCTTGTTAACCCAGTGATTGTCACCCAGATGCTCACAGTTCCCCAACACAAAGAGTGTAATAGCCGTTAGTGAGCCTGCAGTCTTCACCAGCTGCAGCACTGTCTGTGATCAAGGGACTGATAACACCCTGTCACAAAACCAGATAAAATTAAGTTCTGTGATGAGCATTGCTATGGATGCATTTCTAAAGTACTGACACTATAAAAACAGGGCGGGAGACACAATGTAACAAATGGCATCACCCAAACCTTAGACAGTTTTCAATAAAGGTCAAGTCTCACCCCCCCCTTCCAATTTCCATCTTAAACACTGGAAAATTATGAAGTAAGCACTCTGAACACTGTTACATGGAGCCATATTATGCTTCCTCAACACTGTGTGACTGATTAGTTGTTCACAATTAACCAGTCTTCTTCAAGGGTATGCAGACTTTGGAAAGTCATGTGCTTCACCAAGCAGACCCAGGGATCTGCTGAAAACCTGAATATCAATTAACTAATAATAGAATACTAGGACTGAAAGGGACCTCGAGAGGTCATCGAGTACAGATCCCTGCCTTCATGGCAGGACCAAATACTGTCTAGACCATCCCTGATAGACATTTATCTAACCTACTCTTAAATATCTCCACAGATTGAGATTCCACAACCTCCCTGGGCAATTTATTCCAGTGTTTGACTACCCTGACAGTTAGGAAATTTTTCCTAATGTTCAACCTAAACCTCCCTTGCTGCAGTTTAAGCCCATTGCTTCTTGTTCTATCCTCAGAGGCCAAGATGAACAAGTTTTCTCCCTCCTTCTTATGACACCCTTTTAGATACCTGAAAACTGCTATCATGTCCCCCATCAATCTTCTATTTTCTAAACTAAACAAACCCAATTCTTTCAGCCTTCCTTCATAGGTCATGTTCTCTAGACCTTTAATCATTCTTGTTGCTCTTCTCTGGACCCTCTCCAATTTCTCCATATCTTTCTTGAAATGACATGCCCAGAACTGGACACAATGGTCCAACTGAGGCCTAACTAGCGCAGAGTAGAGCAGAAGAATGACTTCTCGTGTCTTGCTCACAACACACCTGTTAATGCATCCCAGAATCATGTTTGCTTTTTTTGCAACAGCATCACTCTGCTGACTCATATGCAGCTTGTGGTCTCCCTAAATCCCCTAAATCCCTTTCTGCCGTACTCCTTTCTAGACAGTCACTTCCCATTCTGTATGTGTGAAACTGATCGTTCCTTCCTAAGTGGAGCATTTTGCATTTGTCTTTATTAAACTTTACATCATCCTGTTTACCTCAGACCATTTCTCCAATTTGTCCAGATCATTTTGAATTATGACCCTATCCTCCAGCTTAGTCGCAACCCCTCCCAGCTTGGTATCATCTGCAAACTTAATAAGTGTACTTTCTATGCCAATATCTAAATCGTTGATGAAGATATTGAAGGAAGCCGGTCCCAAAACAGACCCCTGTGGAATCCCACTTATTATACCTTTCCAGCAGGATTGTGAACCATTAATAACTACTCTCTGAGTAGGGTTATCCAGCCAGTTATGCACCCACCTTATAGTAGCCCCATCTAAGTTGTATTTGCCTAGTTTATTGATAAGAATATCATGTGAGACCGTATCAAACGCCTTACTAAAGTCTAGGTATATCACATCCACCGCTTCTCCCTTATCCACAAGACTCGTTATTCTATCAAAGAAAGCTATCAGATTGGTTTGACATGATTTGTTCTTTACAAATCCATGCTGGCTGTTCCCTATCACCTTGCCACCTTCCAAGTGTTTACAGATGATTTCCTTAATTATTTGCTCCATTATCTTCCCTGGCACAGAAGTTAAACTAACTGGTCTGTAGTTTCCTGGGTTGTTCTTATTTCCCTTTTTATAAATGAGCACTATATTTTCCCTTTTCCAGTCCTCTGGAATCTCTCCTGTCTCCCATGATTTTCCAAAGATGATAGCCATAGGCTCAGATTCCTTCTCTATCAGCTCCTTGAGTATTCTAGGATGCACTTCATCAGGCCCTGGTGACTTGCAGGCATCTAACTTTTCTAGGTGATTTTTAACTTGTTCTTTTTTTATTTTATCTTCTAAACTTACCTCCTTCCCACTAGCATTCACTATATTAAGCATTCCTTCAGACTCCTCGGTGAAGACCGAAACAAAGAAGTGATTAAGCATCTCTGCCATTTCCAAATTTCCTGTTACTGTTTCTCCCTCCACACTGACCGGAGGGCCTACCCTATCCTTGGTCTTCCTCTTGCTTCTTATGTATTTATAAAAAGGGTATAATATATACCCTTTTCAGTGTTTGAGATAAAAACAGGACACTTAATATGTTTGTCTCCTTAGTTCTGGACTATTTCATAAGCCTATGTTAATATGAATTAATCAGGAAGGAAGAAGATCGAGAAATGTGACTATATGGAAGATCACCTTCTTTTTGAAGAATTATTATTAAAACTAAATTAAATTGCAATAAATAACAAGTTATCTATTTAAACAGATTCTTGCCACACAGTTTTCAGAATCTGAAAACCCACAACTGCAGTAAGAAAAATGGTAAAAGATTAAAAGAAGTGTGAGAATGGTGGTAGGTGCCTGAAGTGAGCATATACTGAGCAGAAGGAGCACCTGAAAAATATTAGCATGTTCACTTTGCTAGTCTAAATTATTCTGCACTTCAGTTAACACCTACAGCAGACAAGTGAGCAAGTGCAATGAAAGCCTCCCTTAATCGGTGCTCTCTTTACCTGGTCTCTGTTGTTGATGTTTGAGTATGGTAACTGCCCAGTCATCAGCTCATAAAGAACAATCCCAAATGCATATACATCTGATTGAAAACTATAAGGGTTTTTATCTTGCATCCTGATTACTTCTGGTGCCTGTACCATAAAAGGAAAGAGAATGATTCTGCATTTTATCTTATGTCAGGCTGCTATATCACATACCAAATATGAAACTTTTGTTTTTAAAACAACAAACAGTGAAACAATATTAAGTGAGGTTCCATGCAAAGGCAGTCTTAGGTTCTGACAGTTCAAAGTCAGTTTTAGGTTCTGACTGCTCAATGGCAAAACACATAGACTTCCATATTCTCTCTCTCTTCAGTATTGACTACCCAGTATCTCTCAGTTAGTTACTATCCGAGACATTTTTGTTATAATCTTGTACCTTTGGTAATATATAACTGGATTTATTCAGGTCCACTATTCAAAACAGATGTTCCAGAATTACTGAGACTAAAGCATTAATATTGTGTGTCTGAACACAAATTTCTAAATCCATTGGTTATCCAACTGGATGAGTTCATTGCTGAATTATGATAGGCAAACTGACACTTTATGGTCTGAGAAGCAATTTTGAAACTGGAATTACAAACCTGGCCACCACCAAAGTTTTAAGGTGTGTGATTAGGAAGGGGTTAAATTGGTCTAAACAAAAGTCCTTAAATAAGTTGCTTCTGAAGAGGTAATCTTGATAATCTTTATGACAGTTTCTTCACAACAGCTACACTTGAATATATCTAACTTAAAAACAAATTATTTTAAACAAACTCATGAGAACATTTCAGATTTTGCTGATTTTTTAAAAATATACTTAAAGAGGAGTTACAGATATTAATTTAGTTGATCTTGACCATGTCATCTTAAGTCTGATTTTATATGGCTGTGCACTTGGAATGGTGTTCAGAAATCTTTAGTCAAAATGGAAACAGTTTGAAAGAACAGGAGCTAACTCTTCAAAGGCCATCTACAGCCAAATAATTTGAAAGGAATACACCATTCCCCTATACTTACCATCCATAGAATGGACCCGGACAATTGTTCAAACTGATGGGACCCACTCCATCGTGATTTCACTGTAGCAAGACCAAAATCACCTATTTTTACAGTAAGGTCTTCATGAAGAAATATATCTATGGAGGAGATGTAAAGGAAAAGAAGAACTAACCCTATGTTTTCCTACCAAGCAAAACATGTTAAATGACTTTTTGCTTTCGGTGTTAGTTGTACCAATCTGTAGCATCCAGCCATAGTATACTTTTCAAGTTATCAGTTCTTACATAGGTCTAGATTCTGCATACCCAGCATATATAAAATCCTATCCCCTAAGCAGGGATGGGCAAGAGGTGGCTAGCAGGCTGTATCTGGCCCGCCAAGCCGCCACTGGCACCTTTACTACAGAGCAGGTGCAGCTGCTGTAAACAGCAGGCTGCTAATTGCTATGCAGTCTGGGCAGTGAGGAAAAAGCTTTGTGCACTGTCCCCGCCCCCTAGCAAAATCCCTCAGTTCCCATTGACCAGTTTCTGGCCAATAGGAGCTGAGAAATTTTGCAGAAGGCAGGGGCAGCGAATGAAGCCTCCTCACTCCCTCCTTGTGCTGGAGCAAAGCCATATGCATCAGCCCACCCAGCACACAGACAGTGATCCTGTCTCAGGTTGCTTCAGAGCTGCTGGCTGGGAGCCACCTAGATAAGCAACTCCCAGCCAGAGCCTGCATATGGCACCCCATCCCCTTTTTCCCCCCCAACTACCTGCCCCAGGCCACAACCCAAACCCTCTCCCCACCTCCTGCAGGTCACAAGTCCCTCCCAGACCCTGCACCCTCTCCTATTCTCCTCCCATAGGCCATAATTCTTTCCTGCATCCTTGCCCCTGCATCCTATCCCCTGCCCCACGTCACCACCCAAGCCCTCTGCAACCTCTTTCCCCACTTCTCCTGGGGCACAATTCCCTCCCAAACTCTGCAGTCTCTCCTACACGCCAGAATCCTCTACTGCATCCATTACCCCTTTTGGCCCTGCACCCAAGCCCTACTCCAGATCATAACTCCAGATCCCTCCTCCACCCAAACTCCCTTTCAGACCCAAACTCCCTCCTGCACCCCAGTTCTCTATCTCAAGCTCCCTTTTACACCCTACCTACTGTTCCAGACCCAGTGCCCCCTCCACAGAACTGCAGCCCTTGACCACTTACCAAAATCTTGGAGTGGCCCTCCCATTAAAAATTATTGCCCAACCCTGCCCTAAAGTTAGCCCTAAAGTTAGCTATAATGTTTAGACTAGTATTAAGCAGATAATCACATTACAATGTCTAATTCTTAAATGGCTCCAGGAAACTGCAGATATAGTGGAAGTCTGTGACTGAGTTGTAAGTATCCTTTCACGTTCATAAAATGAATGGTTATCTGAAGTGAATGTTGATTCTGCCACAAAACTTGCTTTCGCTTTGTTAACATATTACAAGGTGTAATGGGTATTTTTTTATTTTGCTCAATTAGTACTTCACACCCACATGTCAACTCTCCTCTAACATTTCTGAAAAGAGTCACATGTGAACGACTGTTCATTTTAAGAAGTTCATTTCTGGCAGAAGAAAGAGGCTTGGTGTCATGTTCCAAGGTTGCATCTTTCAGAAAGGATACTATTACTCTTGAGGTCTCTGTGGATGATTGACTTGGCGTGCAAGTAACTGAAAAGAAACAAATAATTTTTTAGGATGGGTGGTCTCCAACCTTTTTACACCCAAGATCACTTTTTAAATCTCCGAACAGGTGAAGATCTACAGCCCCGCCCCTTCCTTGAAGCCCCACCCCTTCCTTGAAGCACTGCCCTCTCTATTCTCCTCCTGTCCATCACTTGCTATCCCCAGCCCTTACTTACACACTCTGATAAACAGTTTATTTTTAAATTATGCGATGTATAAAATTAAAATCACGTGTTTATAGTTATGAAATTAATGGTCTGTTTTTTATTCATGCTATTTAAATCTAAAATGAAGCATTTATAATTATACATTTTGTGGGGACAGAGTTCTGCGGCGGGGGGCAGGGAAGAGGGAACAGAGTGCTGGGAGGGCAGAGGACAGGGTTCTGCAGCAAGGGACAGAGTGCCAGTGGAGACAGGAATAGGGACAGCGCTCTGTGGCTGGGGACAGGAGAGTGGGGACAGAATTCTGTGGCTCAGGACAGGGGAGTGGGGACAGAGTTCAGGGAGTGGGGATAGGGGAGTGGGGACAGCGTTCTGTGGCTGGGGACAGGGGAGTGGGGACAGGGTTCTGGGGCTGGGGGCGGGGGGGGGGGCGGG